ATAATTTTCGTATTTCTTCAATTTATCAATCAAAATCAGCCGAAACCCAAACAAAATTGGTATGACTGAATAGGTATTTTCAATACCTTTCAAACGAGCTGTCACTTGCCATAGGGTCCCATTTAAAATTTTTGGTCACACTGGCCTTGTGACGTCATTTATGACTATTGCGTCACCTGTTATGACCAGTTGAGAAGCCTACATCCGTTTATTTCCACCCTCCAAATTTCATTATTATAAGTATACCCGTTCCAAAGATACGAGGGGGGAGGGGACTTTTGACTAGCACTGTACTATGTATTTATGTGTACCTATATGTAAATATGTATTATATCCTTACTATGTGTGTCTATATAACATGAAATATTATGTATATTATGTTTGTGTATTAGGATCTTCCTACCAATAAATCATTCATTCATTCATCTAAGTGATGAAATGTATGCCAAAAAATTTTATTTCTAATATCGTGGGAATCGCTGTAGTATTACTGTTCATAGTAACAATCAGTAAGATACAAATGTATGCGTTTCAGGCCGAAAATATAATTGTTAAACTCAGGAGTGAAAATGAAGATCTATCGGCAGAAAATCAACAGCTCAGAATGGAACTGCAAAAAATTGCGGGAGAGAAAGAACATCAGCATCAGCATTTCATGATGCAGATAGCTAATATGGAGACGGGATTCAAGGTCAGTGTTGTGTTTACTGTAACATGGGTGTATTTATGATTTTTGTCAATGGTAGGAATCTCATCAAGAACTTGAAAAAAAATTGGAACTCGCTTTGAGACAGGAAAATGAATGGAAAATTGAAAAAGCAGGTCTGAATACTGCTCTACAGCAGCAATTTGAAGAGAATCGAAATATGGAACATACTTTGAACCAGCTGAATGAACAGCTGCGCTCCGGAAATAATGAAAATGCCGAATCTGTTAAATATATTGCACAGGTAAGGGTCCTCAATGACTTGTTGATGGTTTACAGAATATTCTGTTTTTTTTTTTAGTTGAAATCTGAACTTCAAAAGGCCAATGATGAAATTGCCTACTTACACAAAACAACTGAGGCAAAAAAAAATCAAGAAGTGGAGGTACTAAATCTGAACAACGAATTATCTTCAAAGAAAAATGAACTATCTGCAAAGATAGTCGAATTGGAAGAAGTTGAGAAGAAATACAAAGATGATCTTGAAAATTCTAAAAAGCATTGTGAAAAAATTCAACATGAACTTGAAGAGCAGAAAGAGAAAAATAATGTTAGTAAATCAGTTGATATCGATATAATTACATATTCATATATAAATGTAAAAATTGCATATTTTTTCAGGAATTGCGGGAAAAGAACTGGAAAGTGATGGAAGCACTAAATGCTGCTGAAAGCAAAACAAAAGCTATTGCTGCAAAAGAGGTGCCAGAAATTGATGTTGAAGTAAGTAAATAAAATAAGAATGCAACATACCAATTATGAATTGCAATGGTAGAAAAAATAAAGCATCAACAATTAATATTTGGTTTATTTTCAGAAATTGTCTAATGAAATCATTACCAGAGAGCAAAACTCTCAAAAGCTATTCATTCAGAGACTGTTTCCTGATATTGATGATCTTCATGCTGTAACTGCTGATGATTGGCAAGCCGAGTGTGGAAAATTGATCCAGAGTTACATAAACAACTTGAAAAATCGACAAAGTCAAACCCAACCTCCTCCCTCTCAGAACATAGAAGTAGTTGAACTTCAAGCGCAGTTACAACATTATAAAAGTATATTAGATGAAACGGTGAGTTATGATTTTTGTCTTCAGACAACTGCTATAGCTGAACAATTTGAAATGTTAATTAAATTACCAAAAATGTGATATATGAAAAGAACTTGTTTTCATTTTGTTATTTTATTATTTTGTAGGAAGGGACATTGAACAAACTTCAGACGCATATTGAAAGGGAAGAAATTCAGTGGCGGAATAAGTTAGCAGCTAAAGATGATGAAATAGAACATCTCAAAAAGAGCCGTCTGACACCGGTATGTTCATTTTATATTATTACTTGTTTAGGGTACGACATGTCTGATAAAACAGATTTTACACTCTGGTAACTCAATAATAACTTGAAATTATTGTGATGAAACAACTACATACATAAGTGAAAATATAATGAACTAATTTACACTCGCATATACCATACAAAACTCGCCTTCGACTCGTTTCGTATCCCGGTTAATGCTCGTGTCTTAATAACCATCATTACATGATCGTTGCATAATATACTATTATTTTCAATATGGAGATGCATAATGGTGCAAACAATACCTGAATATATTTAAAATGATTTTTCACCGAATGTAGATATGACCTTAATTAGCAAAGCAGAATATATAATGAACAAAAAAATATACTGCGTTATTGATTCCAAACCGTTTCTTCAGTGTATTTTAATCTTGAATTTTATTTGTTTGGCCTCTTTAGACAATAAGCTTTGATATCCAAATTGCTCAGATTCTTGGCATAGCAACTCCTCAGATATTGTAAAATATTCCTAGGATTTTATATCTATCAAGAAATAGGTATGAATTCTCCTTAATGTGGATGCTTCTGCAATTTCCAGCCTTCTTCTCTTCTTTTTCTTCTTTTGTTCAAAGGAGGTGGAGAACAAAGTTTACATCTATTTTCAACTTAGTGGCTACTTGAGAAGATAAATTCACCTCACGGATGTATGAATTCCTTATTTATACTTATAGCATTTTCTACAACTTGCTGGACGTTGGCAAGAATGGTTTTTTCATCTGTTAGCAATGAAGCTCCCTGAAAGTGACAAAAAGTACATTGATGAATTGAAATATCGAATGTGTATGTGTAATTTTCCCTTCAATAGTAAACATATTGCTCATTGAATGTTGATGGACTCACAAAAATCTATTGAACTGAAACTGTGAATTCGAGTTTATAGACTGTCTGTTGAAATTTATGTCTGGAGCTTTGCCGGCATGAATGGCTGGCATCTTCAGAGATCTGTGTTATCGCTTCACTGGTTCGCTCATGGATGCAGGCTTCATTGACTACAAACTGGGTCGCAGCAAGCACTAAGTACTGGAGAGCAAGGGATACGTTTTGAGGAAACCCAATTTCTTGTCCACTGGTTAGATTTTTACAACTGGTTATTTCGTAAGGCAACTGAAGGCAATTTCAATCAAAAGTAAAAAACAATAGTTTAATAGAATTTGGACACCAGCTTCATGAAACACCAAAAGACGAAAATAACTGGGCCTTCTGAACAGCGAAACAACCCACATGTGATTAGTCAGGAGAGGCCACCTGCTCATCTCATAAATATAGCCTGCACACCAGTGTTCCTCCAACCTTGGAAGCTATAAAACAGATCTCTGAAGATGCCAGCCACTCGCACCAGAAACACGTCGGGAAGAAATTCCAACAGACAAAGAACTAAACACAGTTTCAAAAGATTGTCGCAAAGTCCTAAATTTTCACCTAATATTTGAATCTGCGAGGCGATAATGTGTGTAAAGTGACTTTAATAATTTTTTTAAATCAATTTTGTTATAGTTTATTTCATGTTCTTCCCCATTTACCTAGTGTCCACGTTCTAACTGTTCTGATCTTAGGATTTCACTAATGTCAATGATATTTTAGATACTTGAGGTGTAGACATTCTTATTTATTTATTGCACGTTTTTTTTTTTAATAGTACAAGCATCAAATATGAATATTCATATACAATATACAAAAATCAAAGAAAAGACTAAAAATTCAAAAATGAGACTTGAAGTGAACTCAGGTACGTGAAAATGTTGAAAATAAACATTTACATATATAATTTTGGAAATCAATTTAGGATATGATGAAATTCACAGTTTCATAAAAAATGTATTCATATGCAATCATGTCAAATTATTGGAATCAGTTCAGTTTATCGTTTTGTGTGGTTTTTTCGTAATCCCAAAAAGTGTTTTTCAGTTTATCTGACATGTCGACTTTCCATTGTTGTTCAAATTAAATGTGACTGTAGTGATTTTCGCATGTTAACAATAGAATCCTGTAGAACTGCCAGAGATACAAGGAGTTCAGTTTGCCTACAAATGCATAGAAAAATCGCTGCCAATGATAATCGACGAAGTATGGTGATCTGTACAAGTCGACACCTCGTTTACTTGTGGCTTAACATTAATGATTCGAAATTTTGAAAGCACTTGCTTTACAAATTCATTATTTTATTCCATTCTCATGTTTTGCTGTGGAAAGTTATTTTTTATGTAATTCCTTAATAAGTATTAAAGGTTTCAGGTTCCTCATAAAAAGTTTTGCAAGGACTAAAACCCAAAATGCAATCATCTGTTATCAAATTCTTTCAATCATATATGAGATTTTTTAAACGAATCTTGCTCAAGAGTAAGGTGCCCAAAAAGTTGATCGGAATTGTGAATCACGTCAATTTCATTGATTAACTTTAATTTTTTATATTTCTCGAAACATCTCTACATTAACAACAAAAATTAGTAGGAAAAATGAAACTTCATGTTTTTTTACCACTTTTATTTGAAAATAACATTACTGCAGTTCCATCTTAAAAGGACATTTTCATTTGGTAAAGAATAGAGACAATTGCTAGATTTTTCAGAGAAAACAATGTGGAAGTGGCATTCAGGCCACATGCCAGGTTATCTATTTTTTTTTCCAAAGCCAAAGATGAAGTGGACAAGATGGAGAAATCTAGAGTTTTCTGATTGATTCGGCCGTTACTTGATGAAGATCTATAGTAATTTCAAAAACCACACCTCACGATTTGATCTTCACAAACTTCATTTTGAAAAATATATCACATGTTTCGCTAGCACAGTAGCTTTTTCAAGCTTAAATCACTTGTGATATATTTTTCAAAATCAAGTTTGTGAAGATCAAATCGTGAGGAGTAGTTTAAAAAAAAATATAGAGTTTATGAGCTTGAGTGTCTAGTGTGTAATAGTGTTTATGTGGGACAATGTGGCCGAAATTTCTCAAAAGGGTATGCTGAACATGAAAGGTATTTCAGGCTCGGTAAACATGTTCCGACGTTTTCAAATTTGGAATGCAACCACAAGTTCCCGAATCTAAACGATACGGGAATTTTTTGGAATCCTTGGAAATTCATAAGCATTGCAGATGTAACCTGCTAAATGACCAAATCGACTTGATCTATTCGGCAGTTTTCAGATAATACAAAAATTGAACTACTAGGTAAACACATTTGACTACTCAATGCTTATTTTTTTTGTTATTCGAATGTTGATTGATATCAGATTCATAATGTTTTTTTTTTGTTTTTGTTATATTTTGTTGCCAGTTCTCGTAGCTGGCTGTAGAAGTTGAGTGGTAGAAAAAACCTGTAGTGTTTTACACTGTAGTTTTGAACTTCGCCTTCAGGTTGTTATATCCTATTTCACCCAATGAATACCATTATTATTAATATTATTATTATTACATTGTCACAGGTAAACAAAATGCAGGTACTCAGTTAAGAACCGTCTGTCATTACCTACAGTGGTGTATAGATATATTAGGGTTAGCATTGTTAATTATTTCAGTTTATTATATTCCTTTGAAAATGTGGTAAAAAACATTTTTATTTCTCATTTTTCATGATGATCTCTTTCCATGTCGTAACGTCTACACCCATCATCTTATTAAAAATTAATACATCTAATTTAGCACGCACTGACAAGCAATGTTTATAAGATACATAAAAATTAAATCATAAAGTAGAAATACCGTTAAATATAATCAAACCTGTTTTTTTACTGTACATTAATGCCCTTGCATATTTGAATGTGATTTTCAATTCTGATCAACTTTTTTTGGTAACAATTTCATATATTGTCAAAAATACTTTACGAAACATGAAATAGTTCAAATTTTTCCTTTTTTGAAAGTCATTAATTCTTTCCTCTTGAAAGTGTTTTCAAATTTTCTCAACTAATGCATTATGTGATTTTATTGTTTTCTATGCTTCCAGCAGTTATTTTGTGGCTTACGTGTAAAAGATGTTTTCCATACATTTTATAACTATAATAAATTCTTCAAATATTCACAATTAACTCCAAAATTACTCTTGTGAATGATATTTTGTATAAACATTGTTTCAGATATGCTTGTATATTGTCTTGAGGCTTTAACTGATATTAAAAATATATATACTCTTAGAATGAATGAATGAATGAGTTTATTGAAATAGAAAATATCCTAATAGACATACATAAATTTTTCAAAGTGTACCATGCAAAATTGAGTGGATGTACTTGGAGACTGGCCGTGAATCAAATTATCTAAAAGAACAATTCGTTCAGGCCACTCTCAAATTACCTATACTGTGGGTTAACGGACCTACAATAATTGTAAAAAATTCCAAAAAATATGCGTAATGACACTATCATATAGAAAGAGGAAAGACTATACATGGTACAGCACAATGACTGTCGTTTAGCCGTATTTTGGGAAGTAATAGGTTCATATCCTGAAAATTGGCAAATATGGGTTTTTTGAATATGCTTTATGAATGAAAATAATAGCGTTTTTCCAACACTTTCCGTTAAACCAGAAGTTGGTGCCACCTTTCTTAACCCTAATGTAACATTGTATATTTTCACATTCACAAATCACATTAGAATTACCTGGTGTAATTCTAATGTGATTTTATGTAATACATTCACTCCATATCAAAAATCAACCGTTCTTAAGATATTATTTATTTGTTTACTCAAAAAAAAACTAGGTATTCGGCTCTTGAGTGATTCCTCCAAAATACATTGACAGGCTATTTATTATTGATTCATTAAAAGACTTCATTCCATCATCTTGTAGAAGTAACATTTCCAAAATGTTATAAAAGGTGTTTGGAATCGATGACTAATTCTGAAGATACAAAAATGGGTCAAAACTAAATTTTTCAAATGGAACTCCCTGTAAAATCTTGTCTCATTTTCATAAAGCATTTCCTTTATCCAAAATCAACTGTTTACGAGATACTTAAGTTTTTCTTGAAAAAAATTCGAACAGTTACAGAAAGTTTCAGAGTTATTAATTTTCCGTCATGGTTTTCATTGATGACGGGATTTCAAATGAATAAATAATGAATTGAAAAATGTTTATTCTAAATGTTTCGTAAAAGAGCGAAAATTAAAAAATATTGCATTGTTTTACAAAATGTAAAAACTATTTCAAAGTATGTTCTAAGACATTTCCGCTAACTTCCAGGCATTTAGTAACTCTTCATCAAATTGTTATTCACAGCACGACTGATTTCATCGGCATCCAGGGGATTGAATGCTTGTAAAATGAGTATTGGCTTTGGTTCAAACTATATAATAATGAACTATAAATTCAAAGCGAGGTTGAATAATAGTATTGTAGATTGTTTTGTTGGCAATAATTTTCAAGTGGGTAGAAATTCTATTGAAGAAACAGTTACTTTGCAATTTTTTTTATTCAAATATTTGAAATGTTCATTGAAAGATAAATTGTAGTCCAACATAAAACCCAAATACTTGAACTCTGTGACAATTTGGATGTTTTATTCTTTATTTCCAATAAACACGAGTTTATATTCAATTGCTCATATCTGTAGTTACAAGCATAGCTTTTTGTTTTGGATATACTCGACTTTAATTTGTTTGTGTTTAAGTAATTATGCTTGTTTTCTAAACATATATTCATTTTGTTCAAAGCTATACATGAAAAAGACAACTGTGTTTCATCAGTAAATAAATTCATGAAATCGTAGTTATGACTAGGTTTATATTGTTGATGTAAATTAAAGAGAGCACAGAGCCCTGAGGTTCACCATATTTCTTTTCGGTAGGTCTTGAGAATACATTTCCCACTTTGGTGATTTGTTGTCTTCTAAATAATCTTCGAACCATTTTAATATCGTGCCTTTGATGCCAATTGCTTCTAATTTTTTAATTAATATGCAACAGTCAGTCTTTTCAAAAGCTTTTCTGAAGTGATCAAAAGTAGTCTGCATAATAATTTCACAATGCCAATCCATACTAGTATTAATTTACTCAACTCTTTCATTAAAACTATAAATAAAATACCTATTGAGAGTTTCTATTTCAGATACATCTTTAGGTATTTTTTACTTTACCGTCCTTGGTTTCAAATTCTATATTATTCAGGCCATCACTGTCTTTTTTTGTACTAATTAAAGATTTAATGGTTTTACACATTGGGTTTTCTAAACAGAACAATGAATATGATATTCTGGACACCCTCTATGTTGTGAAGACGAATCACATCTAAATGATTTATAACCTGGTGAATTTAGTTCTCAATCCTCAATTTCAGAGGTACTGCGAGCTTCACTGAATAAAATTGCAGGTTGATGATTTAAAACTGAACCAATAACTTCAATACTATGATCAATAAAACTTACTATATTACTATATATGTCTGATTTCAGTAGTATGCAAGGTCTATTAGGATATTTAGCTAGATTTTTCTATTTGAACTTTTGCTAACAATGGTTGGGATATAATTCATATATTTAATTGTTTTTGTATTATCGTCATTTGATTCTAGATCATGTATTTGATTTTTTACTCGAAAGATTTTTTTTTGTTTTTTAGTTTGACCACTAAATAACCTCATACCTTAGGAATATTTTTTGAATTGTTTTTCATGCTCTTCAGGACAGAAATTGCATCAGTACTTTCATTAATATATTTTTGTTTGTACGGCTACCCCAACTCTGAATACTGATATGTTGTCGATATTAACACTGTGATTCTGAAATTATACCTTAACTATTTTCAAGTCTTCTTTGCGTTCTAGTGAAGTGGTTGCTTGTGACTCTTCAACATTGGCTATCATAATATTTGCCTCTCGTTTTTGACGTTCTAAGAACTCCATAATAATATCTTCATTTGACATAACTTCACAAAAGTCCGTGATTTCTTTTTTTGAAGAAGTAATTTCAGATTTAATCTGTTTCATTTCTGTTAGCAAACCGGAACATTTTTGAATGAAATGCGGCATTCTTGACAAAAACATACAATACTTCAGCTCTGAGCTCTGATGAACATAAACCTGTGCAAGATTCACCCGGATGTTGTATGGAGTAACAACTATCGCAAACAACCACTGTATCTCCAAGGACTTTCACATTGTACAAATATCGCTCATCTTGTTGCAGTAGAAAAGTGACCTCAGCCGCTTGACTATAACTTCAAACTATTTACTATTTACTTTGCTCTCTTTCAGAATAGACTGTTTTTTAACTGTGCTTAATTTATTTTTGTTTTTATTGTTACTTCACTATTGATTTATTTCAATTACCGTTTTTCAATAATTCACTTGTATTTCAAACTTCTTCCTTTTTCTAATCTATAGACAACACTTAACTGCACCTTTTAATGTTTGACTGATAAAAAAACTTCAATATACTTAGATGTTTTTCGCTTTTTGAGCAGAATGAATTAAACATGTGTTCAGACTATACTATATGATCCAAGAAGCTATAGTTTTCATTAGATTTTACCTATACGGTTTAGGTTAAAATTACCAAACATCAATAAAACTCTTCTAATTATCATTAAGACATATTCACTTATTTCTCCTAAAAAAAAAGATGTATATAATTTAAAATTTTCATTTTGATTGTTTCATGTTGACTCACAGTGGTACTTTAACAACATGGCACCATACTTTATTTGTAAACTATTATTTCTCTAATGAATCTCTTCTTCAAATAGCAAAATTAACAGAATTTTAGCTTTATTCAATTTTCAAAAACTCAAACACTCGAACATAAGGATACTAACAACACTTTCCAACAACAATTATGCACCAAAAAGAAATAACAGAATCTAACATATTGTTGCTAATTTTGAATGTGTTCAAAAGTTTGCACTGAAGTATTCACACTTGGCAACACATCAAAACACCGTCTCATAAAGCCTTCTGTCGATATAAATGTTTAAAGCTTGTGCGATTTTTTTCATTTCAAATTGTTTCATAATTTTCTAAAATTGTCTTGTTCGGAAAATATTTTGCATATGAGACAATCAAATTTAAAGAATGTTTTCCGCCTTTAAAAAATATCTGGATGTGGTATATTTATATGATCTTATCAAGATGTATACATTGGCAATATTGAAGAAACTTGTCAATATTAAGAATTGTTAGTGGAAACTGCATCAGTATTTATTATTTTTTATAGTTACAAACGAAGGTGATTAATTTGGAACAACAGTTATCAAAAGAGATTAGCGAAAAGCAAAGGATACAACAGAATCAACGTTCCTCAGCACATGCTGATTCGACTGCCACAATAGAAAAACTGTCGGAAGTATGTTATTTGGTTTTGCCAATATGAATGAGGTACTTTAATTTTTTGTAATTTTATTGTAGGAAGTAAATCGCTTGAGAGAACAGCTAAGAGTAGAACAGACTAAAAATGGGGAAGTCAATGTGTGTCTCAAAGTAAGTTATCTTAGTTGGATTGGATTTCCACAACACATCCAAGTTTTTCCTATATTTCTTGAAATATATGGTCTTTAAATTTAAATTATTTTATTACTCGTAACTTATTTTTAGGCACAAAATTGTAACAATTCGACGAATGGAAGTAGCTTGATAGAGGTAATAAAACAAATCTTTTTTTATTTATAAAGTTCTGAACTATGCAAAAACAGCTAAATTTTGTGTTTTCCAAATAAATTTTGAGTGACTAACAAAACAAAAATCAATGAATAGTACATGTTTTTTATTTCATCAAATATTAATTGCTATATATAATTATATAAATATCGTTGATTTTTGTTACATGTGGATTTGGGTACTTTCTAATTCCTTATTTTCACCATCATTCTAACCACTTTTAAATTTTACTAACCCTTTTATCCAGCACTGTCTGTCATCATCATCTAGTATTGCTTCATCTCTCATCGAAGAGTTAAACAAAAAACCAAAGAATAAGAAGCGAAAGAAGAAGGTATTTATTGTGTGCATGCTAAGTCAACTTATGAAACTTTTCACCAGATTTTTCATTTCATTAAATTTCTTTTTTTTTTTGTTTGTAAATGTATACGTTTGCCAGACTTTTATTGGCTTTTATTTCCGGTGCTTTATTTTGATCAGTGACTGTAAAATATACTTGCTATAAATGTATCTTAGATGTTTTGTGGTAGGTTCTGTATCTAGTAAGTTCTCATTATTAGTAGCTGAACAGTACCATAGTATGTGTGAGCTGTTGTATTCTCATGAGTTTCTTGAAGATGATCACTTGGTGATCGAAACACGTGTCGAGGTGTAAAAATAACGATTTGGTGTTGGGAAAAAACTCCAGTAATATTCATTACTACACCAAAGGTTCCAAACAGTACATCATAAGACTAGACTCGGTATCAATTTTCTTATTCTGAGGATGCTAACTTTGTTGGCGAAACGCGCGTCGAGTGCAAAAATATCAGTTTGGTGTTAGGGCAATTGATCTCGAAAAAAATTATTTATTTTAGGTTGTTTCAAAAGTTTTATCCGCTTTTATGAGTCTACTTTGAACTGTGATATTTCAGTGAATACTTATTCAATTTATTCGAAATAAACGCCATTTAAATCAGTGCACTTTAGCCAACGTAACACAAGTCGTTTAATTCCGTCAGCATAACAGTTGTGTGCTCGGGATTCGTTGAAGTCGGCGAAGGCCGTTTTTGTCTAATCCTAATTGGCGAAGGTTCTACCGGTGAGAAAGTTATCGAAGTGCTTGAAAAGATGGTAGTCGATTAGCGAGAGGTCTGGGGACTGTGGTGTGAAACATGCGGACGGGCATTGTCGTGGAGCAGGATCGGACATCTTCTGTTGACCAGTGCTGGCTGTGACGTAATTTCCGGTACATTTCGTCGATTTCCTCACAGTAGGACTCTGCTTTGATTATTTGGGCCGGTGAAAGAAAGTAATAGTGGATCACACCAGCCGCTGACCACCATACAGTAACCATGGTCATTATTTGTGGGTTTTCGCCTTTGAGAAGTGCCTGGGTGGACAGTGTCCAACCACTGTCCTGAACGTCTCCTGTTGTAGGGGATCCACTTTTTATCACACAAGACGATTCGATCCAAAAAAAGATCATTTTGGTTGCGCAAAGACAAAGAAGAATAGAGCTTGAATCGTAAAATGTCTGTAGATTTTTCAAATTGTGGGGCACCCACTTTTTGAGCTTTTTGACCTTTCCAATACGTTTTAAACGATCAAACACACCATCGGGGCTGACGCCAACTTCTTCCGCCATCCCACACACCGTTTGTGATGGGTCCTCAAATCCTCGTCCTGTATTACTGAAGGTTGACCACTGGTTAATTTTTTGGGCTGTTTCGGCAGCTCTTTGAAACAGTCGATGAGTTCCTCAAAGATTTCAAGTTCTTATTATAATTTAGAAGAATTTTATGTTGAAGCATCCTAGAAAAAAATAATTTAAGAAATATAAATCTGTGTTTTGTAACAACAAAATTTTGATTTTTATTTCTTGTTGTCGTTTGGATATTTGATACTCCACAATCTGAAAAGTAAACAAAGCTAAGTCAATAGAGAATTTGCTAAAGTGTGATAAGAGGGCAAACTGAAATGTTCACCCCAAAAAGTTACCAAGAAATATAAGAAGAATCCAATCAGTCAGTAACTTGTCATTTTCACAAATTTTGTCTTATATATGAAAAAATTGAATAATATAAAAAATGAAATTTATATACTTAGCTTTCTTTAGCGGTTTGGAAAGTTACCCCTTTCCATTATCGAAACCCAAAAAATCACTTGTTGAGATGTCACATTCCATAGCCTAGATGATAACAAGTACAGGATGTTATTCGAGAATTCATTTTAGGTTAATATTTCCATTCATTTTTATCCAACCTAATATACTTAGAAAATATTTTTTTGCGCATTTGTTATGGATAAACTCGTAACATACTTAACCGGTTTTTATCAGCTGAGAGATTCCTAACGAAAATTTGTTATAATGTAACCCAAAGCAAAAATTTACCTGTAAATAGACTCACCGGTGTGCGAGGCGGATTGTATAAAACAATAAACATATTTCTTTCTAATGAAAGGAGAGAACTGGTTTATGGCAAATGGAAGTAGCTCTGTTTGGCATTGGATCATTAATGAAATATATCTGGGATCTGATATATATATGCAACAAGTTGCAGAAAGTAATTTCTCATTTGACATTCAGTGTCGAAGCTTGGCTTCACTTTGGGACCCTCTTATATTTGTGATTAGAGGGTTTAATTTTTCTGTCGATCCCATCATCACAACCACGGCTTCCTCAGCAATTCTGAACTTTTCCAAATAATAAGTCTGTTTTTTTCTTATTTAATCCTGATAAGTTCTTTCAAAAAAACCAACCAATATCATTTCATACAAAATTATCAAAGGTTTTGGCATCCAATATCTGCAAAACTGAGTATAAAATCATAAAAGTAAACAGAGGAAAAAAATGGGAATAGTATTCATTCATCTTTATGAAAACGCATCTACATTTACCGTTTTAATTTTTTTTTTATATTTTTTGTAGATGGCTTCATTTTTCAGTTTAATGTATAATACAAAGTATTTTACCAATTGCACTCTTATTAGTGTTATATTTTTAAAGGTACCAACAACAAAAAACGCCAACATTTGTTCAAATATGGGTTGTCAGTTCTTGTATTGTGACGGCAGTAGTTGCAGTGGAAATTTGTAATGCGGCATTTAACCTTTCAAAGGTATTTATTGCCTTACATCAATTTGTAATCCAAATTTGCTTTTCAGTTATATTGCAATCAGGTGTATCTAAACAAAGTTAGTGCTTTGTTCAGATACATTAGATAGGACCGCTGAATAATTTTTTGGGGGGATATCTCATAGGGGAGCAGCTGGTTAGCTGTAAAATTAATTTTGAAACTAATTAAATCCTTCAAAAATTCATACGGATTTGGTTAGATGAAATTCATTCAATTTGACTTTTGAAAGTGAAACAATTACAGTTGTAGCTCCTAGAATATACTAGTTTCATGAAGACCACTTTTTATCTTTTCCATTTCAATCAAGTAATAGCATACATTCTACATACATATACTGCGTTTACGTGGAACAAACTTCCTGAGAACTTTTTTCCAAATGAATTTAATCTCCAGCGATTCAAATCCAATGTAAATCGCTACTTTCGCACAGGCATCGTTCGTAGAGCGCGTTAAGGATTTTCCTATAGTGCTTGTGTTTTGTCCTTCAAAAAATTACTTTAATAAGGAAGATAATTACAAAAGTAAAGCCATTTTTATGAGTAAAGTATGCAACATATTTTGCATGATGATAACGCTCCTCATTACTTCTTTACTCTTGGTATAAAATTCAATTTACTGATTAACTTGCATCTTTTTAGTTTTGTTATTACAATCTGTAACGTATGTGGATAGTAATGAGTTATCCCGCCACATCAAAACCAGTTGCTCTAAAACAGAAATGAAGAGGAAGAATTTTTTAGGATATCAAATTTTGTGATCTAACATGGTTCTGAAACATGGTCCAGTTTAAAAGTCATGAAAATGCCTTTTAAACTGGACTTGGTGGTTTGAGAAAACTTTCTTCACCTTCTCAAAGAGGCCAACTTTTAATCTTAAAAAAATCAATTTTTAATGATATATCTAGTTTTCGTTTGTTATGAATAGATTAAGTTATGTTCAAGTTTGTCCAATGTTGATGGCAACTTTTCCACTCTAATATTTTAATTTAGATCAATTTAAATTTGTTTAAAAGAATTAGAATCAGGCTCAAGGTTTAAGTCTTTATACCTATAAAGAAATGTAAACACACAAAATCACATCTTCCCATATGATTTTGCCATCTCTAATGCTGGAAAGGAAAGTTCGTTTCTATGTTCAGTTTTGACTAAATACATGAAGTCAACATTCATTTGTAATTTACATTGATTCATTATTGGTTTGTTCAAAGTTTAATTATATGATTTTTTTTTCAGGACAAAGGAAGTGCAGAATAAACTAATTTTCAACTACAGTATTTCAGTATACTGTGAAATAACCCCCCCTATACTTAATTTAGATTTTTCCAATAGTTGTACTTCAATTTACAATTATCATTCCTTTTTTGTCACTGGTGCAATAATATATGTCAAGTCAGTTTGTGAAAGTATTTTTGGACTGTATTATTGTAAGGTAACAAACAATATTTATGCCATCCTAACAAAACGGTGGTTTAGCGGGCTTTTCTAAGATTTTTTACAAGTTGAATTAACTGTGAGATTGTATTTAGGTTAGGTGACTTGTAATTAATACCTTGTTGAATTAATGTTAATATTAGGCAATCGCTTCCGTTGATATAGTAAAAGACTTAAAAAGCTTATGAATGATGTATCCAATTTTAGTTACATCCATAGCATATATTCTTGTATGGTAAAAAGATTGTGTGTGTACGAAAAACAGTTTTAATATTAGATTAAATATATATTATACATTATATTTCAATACACTAGAATTTCTTTTGTATAATTTTGTGATTCCAATAAAATAGTTTTACTACACATTTTGGTTTGATTGTGTTACTGAACCCTGATTAGTTGAATTATGCATCCCAAAATTTTGTAAGAGTATTATATGTATTTAATGTTGTTTAATAGGCATAACTGAAATTTCAGCATATAATAATTTTTCTACACCCGTACTCTAACAATACACTTATATGACCATAATCCGTTTCATAATGATATCCATTATGATACAGATTTTTCATAACGATACAGATTATCAACCAATAGAAACCCATAATTTTTCAATCAAGAATCCTGTTCCTTTGTTTGTCCTAGATTCTAACCTAAGTAACTAATTGCTTTATTTGTCAAAATCAGTTTTCATATTACCTACCTATATTATCAAAATGTCTGAAAACAGCGATATAGAAGGAATACCATCGACTCCAATATTTTAAAAGATCAGATTAATTACAGTTGTTATATTCAATATAAATATAATTAGAATCTTTATAGTTTCCATATATCCATGATAATACCATTAAGTTTGTGTTTTTTTAAAAAAATATGAGTTAATTACTGTAAATGTGTTCAATACAAATATAATATTTATAGTTTTTCATTATTTATCGGGTTTAGAAAAAATAGCGTATACAACTCTCATGTAATGGTTATTAATACACTCGCATATACCATACAAAACTCGAGCATCCCGGTTAATGCTCGTGTCTTAATAACCATCATTACATGATCGTTGCATAATATACTATTATGATGCACTGTTTGGAACCTTTGGTGTAGTAATGAATATTACTGGATTTTTTTACCAACACAAAACCGTTATTTTAACGGAAGATCAAACTAATACTCACAAAGCTATTCCTATTTATACTATTGATACCTGCGTCTTGAGTGTCTTTAATTAATTTTACAATTTGCCTTATCTACTTGTCTTACAATTATTTTACAATGTGTCCTTATGTAATAATCAGGTAAATCTAATAAATGAAATATAAGCTATATAAAATTAATTTCACATGTTGCCTTATCTACTAGTTTTACATAAATTTTACAATGTGTCTTTATATAATAGTAAGGTGACATAAGGACACATTGTAAAATTTATGTAAGTCTAGTAGATAAGGCAAATTGTAAAATTAATTCAAGACGCAGGTACCTGTAACAGGTATCTATACTATAAATAGGGATAGCTTTGTGAGTATGATTAGTTTGATCTTCCTCTTGAATATGATCACTTGGTGATTGAAACATGTGTCGAGGTGTTAAAATAACGGGTTGGTATTGGAAAAAAATTCTAGTAATATTCATAGAATAATTCATATTAACATCACCTACTGATGAGGCCAAATTGATTGGTGAACTCAGTGAGTTTATATTTTTTCTACAATGCATTGTAGATTGGAATGTTTGCTCAAAGGTTCATTGAAATAATTCCAAAACGAAAATCTTTAGGTGATATGAAGTTCTCAGAAGTTTTTGGTTTTGAAGTTGAGAAACAACAATTATGTAAATAAAATGTATTATGTGAAAGGAGTATATATTTTTTTCCCTATTATGTTAGCGAAACGTGTCTAGAAATGAAAAACGTTTGTAAAAATTGTTTAATTACCATGGATAGTGTCATTCATTTTCATCAAGTAACGGGCCAGTCCATTCATTTATATTTATTGTTTTTTTATCGATTTGAAATGCTTTTTAAACATTGTATAAAGAACTTGATTCATATAAAAAATAATACAATTTCAAAATAATAAAAAACAGTTGGATGAAAGCTAGTTGAGAAACCACAATTACTTAAAACAAGTAAGTATATATATATTGTTTTTTTATCAATTTGAAATGCATTTTTAACATTGTACAACGAACTTAGTTCATATAAAAAATAATACAATTTCAAAATAAAAAACAAATGGATGAAAGCTAGATATGATTAAAATAAAAAATACACTCAAATTCTACATTTCACATATTTACATACAAATTCCCTCGAATCTTGACCTGTTATTTCCACATCAAGTAGAAAACATAAGTCAAAAGTATTTATTATGAAATATATATTCAAACAAAAATTCAACACAATCACGACTTAGGAAATTGTCAATATAATAATGAACTTGAAGGTAATTTTAGCATGAATTTTTACTTTTTTCAATATTTTGCACTTATTTGATCAAGGTTTATGTATTAGTCTGTCGATGTGTTTAGATTCACCTAAATGTTTGGTGTTCTCCAGTTGTTGAAAGGATAAAATATTTGAAATACTAAACTAACTATAATGTAGAAAAAAAGTTTAGAATTGAATTGTCAATGTCTGAGTATTACACTATTTTAGGTGTGTTACTTATTGGCTATTATTTTCATCATTATTGTGATGAGGATGAATTAATTATAGCAGTTGTCTGTTTCTCTATCTGAAGTTTGTGTTGAAACCTTGTCTTAGCTGCTGCAAAGATTCCTCTATTCAAAAATCAAAAATTGTTCAAGTAAAAAAATTTTTTTTTAGTTAAAAAAAGAAAATTCATAAAAATGTCCCCTTCAACTAAACAATGTTTTGTTATACCTTACACAGTTTTTGATTGGGTGTGACGAATTGGTTTCATAAAATAATATTATCGAATAATATTTCAGTTCTGATAATTCACTGGAAATTGTTTTAGTTCATGAACATCATAGTGGATTGGTGACATTTCTTAAAAACTGTTCAAACCGATCCTTTTTATCACATTGGGGTATAATCTAATTGCACGTAAAGTTGTCTAACACCAACTGATGCAAAAATCATCTGGGTATGCGACACTACATACTTAGGATCAACAGTCTTGGACACTTCTAATTTTAAAGCACCTACATAAAAGTCACTACAAAGTGTCCAGAAATGTGGTTCTTGGACAGAGTACACTCCTGCTAAACTAACCACTTTTTGATAGCACTGCGGTAAAGCATTATCAAGGGCTGTAGGCTGTCTCTGCATTAGGATCAAAATAGAATCTTTTATTAGGGCTAGTACGCTAAGAGCTATAAGAATAGAAATGAACATAGAACAAATAGGATCGGCAATCATCCAACCAAACATCTGCATAAGAACAGCTGAAATTATAACTCCGACACTTCCAAGAGTATCAGCCAGAATATGTAAAAATACTCCTTTCATGATCTGCGAATTTCCTGCGTCCAATTCTATGTCATGAGAGTGATGATGGTTATTTGATGTATGAGAATGGCCATGGGAAGGACCGCCATGAGAGTGCCCATGAGAACTTCCACCGTGTCCATGCCCATGCTGGAAGGCATATATTCCAACTAAATTTACTAACAATCCCAACACTGATACAATAAAAAGCCTTTCATGTTTTACCTGAAACGGAAATATGAATAAGTTGAAGAGAAATGCTAAAGTTGAATCATATCACATAGGCATAAAATGATAGAAGTGAAAGCATACACATGACAAAGCATACCATTTTACAAAGATTTCAATGATTTGGTTAATTTTGGTTTTGAATTATTTGTGGAAGTCCAGAGAAGATTTGAAAGATGAGTAAACTCGAGAACGGCTGGACTGATTTGGTTAATTTTAGTTTTGAATTATTTGTGGAAGTCCAGTGACAGGTTCAAAAGGTGAGTAAATATGAAATCTATGTATAAAAATGAATTGCTGTTCGTTAGTCTCGCAAAAATCGAGAACGACTGTGTTGGTTTTGAATTATCTGTGGAAGTCTAGGGAAGGTTTTCGCTTTTATTGGTAAAAAATGAAAAACATTTCAATAAGTTTGTATTGGAATAACAATTCCAGCCATGATGAGTGTATCAATAACCTATTATTAAATATTAATTCCAAAAGAAGGCATTTTTTTTACCTCAGGTGGTTCAATTGCTCTTTCAACCGCTTCGGACATCAAGAAGAAAGATATGAAGAGCAGAAAGAGTCCATTTACAAATCCTGCCAATATCTCAGCTCTAACATAGCCATATGAATATTTATCATTAGCTTTCCACTTCGTAATCACAGAAGCTACCAGACCTGCTAGGAGACCAGTACAATCGAAGAACATATGGAAGGAATCGGATATTAAACCTTAAAATGAATTGTTACCCCTGCAAGTTTTGTATCACAGCAAAAAACTTGACTTACCTAAACTGTTGCTCCATACTCCATAAACTAATTCTACAAATGCAAAGGAGAGGTTAAGAAGTAGAAATAAAAATAAATTTCTTGAATTTCTGTCTGAAAATATGAGTCTTATCCATCCTTGAACTTTTTCCTTCATTCTTGAACCAATTCCTCTGGAATAGGATTGGTAGGCATCTTTATGGGACAACGGCAACATATTGTCAATACGTGTTTTCCAATTTATAAATATTGATATTTTTTCAAAACATTACTAATTAAAATAAAAAATATGATTACGTGTCCATTTCAATAACTAGAAAAACTTGTAATTGTTCACAACAAATAATACAAATAATCAATGCGGTAATTTTAATGAAAATACTCATTCACGAAGTAATTTAAAAATGCAAAAAGACTGCTACAGCCGAGCCGGCTGGTGAAAAAAAATTTAGCCTATTCAAATAGGCTATCCTAAATCTAAATAAACCATAAGACCGAACCACAGTTTTCCGTAGCTATACAGTAATGACATTTCTTTAGATTAGTTCGACATCTAGTAATGACACTTCAACTGACAGCTAGGGAATAATAGTCTCTATGTACTCATGCTTAGAGGTTATTATTTTATGTGATTGGGAAATTTTTGTTCAGCAAGTCAAGCAGGTCTTAGAAAACCTCTTTGGTTGTCGCTGTCATTAGAAAAATTCATTTCGTGGTGGGGGATAGGAAAAATCTGTCCATGAGACTATTTCGGTAGCAAAGGATATTAGGTAGCAGTATGATGTCTGAAATATGGGGTTCCAGTCTAATGTATGCGGTAAGGATCGAGGGCAGGTAATGGGTTCGCCAGTAGGTGGGATTCATCTTGAATGTATCATGCATTCCATAACTGAATGGATATTGGAGTTCACATAGGATAATAGTTTCAAAACACTGCTCACTCCCAGCCTGTGAGCGAGAGGCATCTCAGAACCCTCCGATAAAAGTATTGAGGTGGAAGTTGAACCCTACTCGTAGTGCTTGAAACTGCATTTTATCCAGCTGGTACAACAAATTTTCAAACATCTTTCAAAAATGGAAAATAATGCCTTAGCATTTCACCTCTTGTTTTCAGTAAATGATATTATTATTGATTGATACCTATATGATCGCGTCGGAGCCGATATATGTTTATTTGTGAAATAAACTGCCTTGCATTTATTAATGAAAAGTAGCATCCTGCTATCTTCAAGAAAGTTGTGGGTTCTCTCTAGGCCCACTTTAAGATTATCAATTATTTTTGTAGTGTCGGGTAAAACTTCGCACATAAAAGTTTGAAGTTACATGTGAAGTTTCACCCGAATAAAGATACCTGTTCTTCGATTAAAGTTTTCAACAGGTCGTTGTATATATTGAAGAGGATAGGGCCCTTTGGTGATCCTTGCGGAAGTCCTCTGTTGGTAGATTTGGGTCCTAACATTTGCTTTTAAGTTGGATTTTGGATGCAGATTTGCCTGTTGAAGAGATTTACGATCGATAGCGCGAGATCATTCAGAATAAATACCGTGCCAGTCTTTCAAATAGTTTAGGTATAATTACATGGTCATATGAAATTGATATCCAATAGGACCATTACCACATTGTGGTCTGATGATGATGCTAAGCTAGAATATATATTCCAGTACGCCGAAAACCTGACTGTGGCGGATTCAAAAAATCACACTGTTATATATGCCATCCTGTCTGTTTTTGATCATGGTTTCTAATAGTTTTTCTGGGCAAGATGTAAAAGCAATTGTTCTCCAATCCGACACTGATGATATATCCATTTCTGGTTTTGGAATTAGGTGTATTAGAAGTGTTTTCCACTCCATTAGTATAGTTAGAACTGTATATAGAAAACATTCAAAAGGCTTACCAACCCTGTTTGCGGTAAGTCCAGGTGCAGTGTCTTTTTTCTTTTCGAGTGAGACGTTCATTTTATCCATGCTGAACGAAACACTGTATTGGATCTGGAAATCTGCTGAAACAGTAACTATCTCTAGAATCGGATGAGTTAGAGATTGGAGCATAGTCTCAGTGACATTGTTATTCGTTTGAGGGTTTCGTCGAGACGAATTTTTACAATTAGCAAAAGCTCTGAAAACTATTCGGTCGATATGGGAGTTTCGAACAAAATATTTGAAAGCTTTGTTTACTTTTTCTCTCTTAGCAGTTTCCTAGTCCGTGCTCGTACCTTACGTACCTACGTTAATATAGTTTCGTAGAATTGAATGTATGTAGCGCCCTACCAATGACGTTTTGGTTTTGTTCCTGAAGATTTTTTTTAATATAAATATCGACCAGCTCTACCATTAGTTGGTTCCATATCATTGTAAGACATTTCCGTACTAATTATTAGCTCATGTACCCAAAGCTGGTACTGTGTCCAGTCAGTTTTTTTGTGTTATACGTTTGCCGTCTGTGATCTGTGTTAGATTGGGTATTACTAGATTCAGTAAAATGACATAAAAACACAAAATTATCGCTTGTTCTCACATCGGAAAATACCGTTCAGTCAATGCTGTGTGATGATTATGAAGAACATAGAGTGATATCAAAAGTACTTACGTTATTACCAGGAGCCGTAAATCGTGTAGGATTGCCATTATTTAGTATAACAGCTCCCCGTGACTTCATAAAGTCCAGAAACTGTATCCCTTGCCTGTTTGATATACCTGATACCATGATGAGTGTTGAGTATTGTCTCCTACAGTCTACAATGGCTTTGAAGATAGGTTTGCGATAATATTCAACATACGTAAAAAATATGACGTATCTATCGGAACATTACACCGAAAAGTGTTAGATGTTGAAGTTATTCACCTTATACCTACTTGGATATTGTCCTGCAGCGGAATATTATTCAGGTCGATGTTGTTTTATTGAATTTAATCTTATGAAGCAATTCCACCTCGTCCTTAATCTTTGTCCCATTGTTTTTGATGGAAACCTCTTATGTGAATGTTATAATGTGGTTTTAGAAAATTTTCTTTCAGGACTATAATAGCCATCGTATAGTTTCGAATGTGTGTCACCAATGAATTGTACTTTTGTGAGAAACTACGTACCTATGTTCCAGTGAAGAATATTTAGAGCCATTGCTAACAAATTGTTTAAATTTAATATATTAATGAAAAAAATTGAAGCAACGATATTGGTGCCTCACTCCAGCCGACCAACAGCTGAGATTGATGTTTAGAGGTAGCAAGGTGATTATATTCTATATGAACTTTAAGTATGTTTGAATCAGAGAAAATACTTACTTTGCGGTCCCCGGTCGAACACCGGGGACCTTGCGGTCCCCGGTGGTATTTGTCAGATTTGATATTTGTCAGATTGAACGTAACACCTTAGGATATGTAACCCATTCAAATGCATACTGTAAGATGAAAATAATTACATACCCTAGTAAAAAAACCTTAATAAAAATTTCAGACTTTATATTTTATTTTATTGTAATTTCAATTTTTTTGCTTACAATATAGGTATAATTAGTAGTATAATATAAAAATAACAATAACAATAAAACTTATTTGGCGCTCCGGGGCGTCTTCATTGATTCCAAAGGGGCATTTGCTTTTTCAGCTGCAGGAAAACCCGGAAAAACTTGCAGTACCACATCATCTGAAGATCTTGCTCTGCCAATGTCCTCTCTCTCATAAAACAAAATGTAGGGTGTCTCCAGAGGCTCCAATGAATTCAATACATCACCAGAACACTTCGTGACACGACTGTCGTCAAACTTAAACCAATCCGTTTCGTCTGGATGGTACTGGGCTCAGTACCAGCTTTGGGTACATGACAGTAGCGTAACTATACCGTTTGAGGCCCGTGGCAAATTCATCGGATAGGCTCCCTTCCCTCAATATAAAGAAGCTGAACCAACACTAATACTATTTTTTATTTTATAATACTTATTTATACACTTTTACTTGTAAGAGTACAATAATAAATCACTACGTTAAGTAGGTACATACAAACTTTATAATTATACTTTGGTACTTGATATTTTCTAATAATTCACTTTGAATTAAAAATACCTAATTTGAAGTACAGTCAGCGTTTAATTGATATGGGCACATAGAGTAGTCAAAATAATCTGATAAACAAAAAAGAAATTTGATAAATGCAGTCTGAATCATCATATTGGTAAGCACACAAAGGTGTTCAAAATATAAAATGTTAATTATTAAAATTCCTTCCTTCCGACTTTCTGTACAGCAAAAGTGGTAATGACATCATAAAAGTTCAAATTTTGAGCCATAAAATTTTCGATGGATAGAATAGCCAATTTCCTCAACCTGTCTTATCCATAGAATTTCTTAAATGAGTTTTTATCAATTTCAGTTTTGAAAATAATCGCTCGGCACTAGCCGTAGTCGCAGAAATGGTGAGAAATAATAGAATGCACACTTCAGGAAAGCTTGAAGATATAGAATGATTTTTTATTATTAATAAATCAGCAAGTTCTCTTATAGAAGACGAAGTTTCTATTTCGTGTCTAAAAGAGGATCGAAAACTGAGAATTTCATTTGAAAACGAGATGGATATATCTCCTTTATATAAATGGACAAATGACTTTTCCAATAAATCAGTATCGTTCAAATTTTGCAAAGTGGCAGGTTGCAAGACACTGAAATTGGACCCTGACCGGGGACCCTTCCCGCTGGGGGCCCGTGGCATTTTGCCACATTGTAGTTACTCCACTGGTACATGAGCTAATAAATGGTATGGAAATGTCTTGCGATGATCTGGAACCGAGTAGTGCTATAGCTGTCGATATTTATATTAAAAAAAAATATTCTCCAGGAACAAAATTAATAATCAAACTTTTCTGGCATAGGGCCACACAGAACAATATGGGTGTCAGCTCGGGCTGCAGAGTATGTGACGCTTTTACACTAGGTCGCGCGACAGCCACGCGGTTTTTTTTAGTATGGAAGTCGCGCGGCAACCATGTGACCTAATGTAAAGGTCTTCTAACAAGTACGATGCTGGTACGATGCTTTTGTAATATCCTCATTCTGCCCGACAGTTGCCGTTATTATATTTTGTTAACGATAAATTGATCATTTCAAATGAGTTATTTTATTCTTTCTTTCAATCGATTTTGAAGGGTAGGCTTCGGCTTGTGTAGTGGCGAAATAAATTATATCGCTTTATTCCGATGACAGTTTTCACTTGTAAAAAGAAAATTCTTCCTCCTATTTTTCTTGAAAACTACTATGTTTTCCACCAATTGTCTTACTTTGAGAAGCACTTTTAGATGATACTTATGCCATTATACATAGAATATCGCAGGCGTAATCGATGAATCAAGAAACGTTCAGTCTTGTGCGTTAAAACAAACGAAATAGCTCGCGGCTCGTCTAGACTCGAGTACAGTGTACCACCGAGCGAGCACAATGCGTGCGACTATCGACAGTCGCCGTCGCCGGATTCGAACGCAAAATCCTTTTTTGATTTTGTTTGATACATGTTGTTGACTATTGAAGTACTTTACTTTGTCGCTGGCCGCACCACGGGTAAAAATGATTGATCTATAGTACAATTCCAAAATAGTAGGTGATGAGTTCTTAGAAATATTAATGCATTAAAACGAAAACATTGTTGTCAAGGTTGTGATTCTATATATTTTACCATCAGTAGTGCCTACTATTTTGAAATTATAGTATAGTGATACTTGAACTTATCATTAAAGCTGACACCCGATCGAACCGGTAATGCGTTTAACGTACATGACAGTGTTCCATGAATTTTATTTAACCTATAAACGAGATATTCGAAATACCCTACTAATAGGCGTACAGGGCTTTCAACATCATATACGGGATGCCAGTAAGGCATTCAAAGGTACAATGTACAATAAGGTTCGTTGAATGTCGTGAATATATCAATGACGTATTGCAGCTTGCAAAGCCACTTTTTATTTTTTAATGTTTCCTACTTTGACTTTGACACAGAATGTTCTGATATTCTGTGACTTTGACGTAACGTAAATTCAATTTCCGTCAACGAGTTTCCGTTTTGCATCCTTATTCTTTTGTGTTCATATTCCAAGATGGTATGTATTCAGTTATTCGTTTTCTTGAATTTTTAGAAAAAAATCATTAACTTTGCAATGTTTAATGTTTAGTTTGTAACTTTACTCTATTTAGAATGAATGTATCTAATTCATCATGATTACTAATTAGTTCGAAATCAATATTTTTTTGTAAGAACTAAAGTAGTCCATGTGCACATGATGTGATAATGTTGTCAAGACCATCTTCATGGTTGTTTAATGATTTAATGAGTCTGAAAAGCAATCATTACTTCAATCTTCAGAAATTGCCGAAGGTGGATTTTGAAAATTACCATTGTTTTTTAGCCTCCCAAAAAGGATTCCAAATCCAGTGCTAAACAACCACAAAAAACTCAAAAGAAGAAGGAGGGTTCTGGTGGTGGCAAAGCGAAAAAGAAGGTAAAGTAGGGAATTTTGTTTGAATTTAGATATTTACTAATAATGCTATTTTTCATGTAGAAGTGGTCTAAAGGAAAAGTACGTGACAAGCTAAATAACCAAGTACTTTTTAATAAAGATACTTATGATAAACTCTACAAAGAAGTACCATCCTATAAGTTGATCACCCCGTCTGTAGTCTCTGAACGTTTGAAGATTCGTGGCTCACTCGCAAGGAGAGCTCTTATCGAGTTACAACAAAAAGGTAAGGATCTATTCCTCAATCCAGCTATTGTCATATCACTTGGGAAAGAGGGGGCTACATTATAATTTTGAAGTTAATGTTGTAATATGATAGTCCACTAATAGCAGTCTAGTGGAGGCATAAGGTTTACCTACTTTTAGCAAGTTTTGTAGTATAGTATTGAGTCTTGCTTTGAACTTGAGCTTTCTTAATTCATTAAAGGGACTTGCATAATCTGTTGGTTGTTCTGACTAACCATAGACCGAAATTATATTAGTCAGAATTTGAAAAAATGTACTATATGTATCATATGTAATGTATAAATTGAGAATGTAATCGTCATTATAACTTTTCATACATATAATTTTTTGAAACGAGGTGTGCAAAAATATGTTTGTTATTCCATATTTAATGTTTGTTGAATATACTTTCTTGGAGCAACTTGTTTACTGTTCGCATATCCGATTTAGCCAAAATCAGGCAACATCTTTTCATATGCAATGTAACAGTCAGCTTGAAGTCTTCCACTCTGACGGTCTACAGTGTTCGAGCCTAACTTTATGAAAACCCTATCAGAGATTTCTGCCTGAACATTTTGTTTTATTACAAGGACTATCAAAACGATCTACTTATTGTATTAAATTTACTGCTTAATGAAAATAATGAAATGGGATTAAAGTATTGAAAGGTATATACAAGATGATTTAGGTTTGTTCCATATAATAGACTGTGGTTATCCATGGCGTATTCAAGCCAGGCCAAAATATTTCAGAAGAAATGTATGTGTTTTTTAAGAAGGTACATTTAACATGTCGAATAAATGTGGTTTCTTGAAAATTTCATACTCGTAAGGAGTGAGATCGGAGATCTGATCTTGTCCTTTTGACAATGTTGTTATGAATTTGTTAAGGGCTTTAGAAAACTGGGTGCATTCAGATCCTGGTTCTTCATAAAATAAAATTATATTGCCTGCTAGTAATAATAAATAATAGCTATCACTTGATTTTCTGCGTCTAAGATGAAAAAGCAGAAAGCACTGCGCTGAATGCAGTGTAAAATTGGTTTTCAAATCAACTACGAAGTATATTGATCGTCCCTAACAATATGCCAATCTTCAGCTTTTATTGCAAAGGAAAGATTTTCTTGTAATAGTTTGATGAATGCAGGCTGTGTTTCACTATAGAATATTTGTTTCAAGCATGCAGTGATACAAATGTGACACTTTTGTTTGAAGGTGATTGACAATGTTTCATGATGAATTTCACTAGTTCGGACTTTCATTGTCTTTTCTTTGAAAACAAAGGGCCTGTCAAAAATAATCAAAGGACAAAATATCCCTAGAATAGTCCCTTAATTTTTTGCCGCGTGTTTAATAAACACCATGCATGTGTTTGAAACGATGAGTAGTACTGCCCAACTAGGCAGTACCACTTTTGGGTATATTCATTATGTTTACAATTTTTAAATTGAATAACATTTGTGCAAAGGATGCTCTGTTTTTGAATTATATACTATGATGATTCCTTTTTTGCTTGAATATCAGTGATAGCTAAAACTGATTTAATGAGTCTGAGTGTTATACTTGCATTAAAATTGAACATTCGTATTCAATAACAATTTTTATCAGCTTTTTATTTTCGTTTTCAGGATTGATTAAACAAGTTGTACAGCATAGGGCACAGCTGATCTACACAAGAACAACAAAAGGGGATGATCCAGTTGCCTAATTTGAAGATAGAATGTATCTTGTAAAATAAAAACCAAAAAAAAATGAATTTTGATTCTTTATATCAGATTATTTCTTTAAAGGGATATTGTTGAATATAGATCCATTAAAGTGAAGGAAAATGGAATGTATATCCTTACATATAAAAAAAAAATGCATTCAGAATCAAGGTCTTGATTTTAATATGNTATATATTGAATATTTTATGAATTGCTATTTCATGGGTTAAGGAGAATAAAAAAAAGGTTACAAGGTGCTAATGGCAGTCATATTATTATGTTCATTTATAAATTTTGTGGAACAACTTCTGACTTAATGTCTGACGGTGAACTATTATACTGTTCAGGTATAAAAATGAATATTTTGTAATATGGTATTTTATTTTGGTAAAACATATTAATTAGTTTTTGACATTTTCTGTTGCAGTTTCTTTCATCAATTCTCTAAACCATAGGCGGTAGTAAAAATAATCTGCATACATACAATCAATAATCAAATTTTTTTCTACAGTTTTAGAACAAGTAATATCCAAAAATTTTTGATGTTCATATGTTTAATCTATCTAAGCGAGGCGGTTATTGTCTGTAGACGATTGAACAAATCTGGTAATTTTTTTGGTGATTTTTCTCAATCCGTAAAGTTCCTAATATCCTAATTACCAATAGTACCAATGTATGTATCAATTTTTCATGTTGAGTGATGTGATAGTTCTAATGGTTTGTAATTCCTAAACAATTTTAAACATATTTAATAACATTCAAAAATGACCACTGAAACACAAAATGTACCAGTTTCTTCAGAAGATATTCAGATAGCCGAACATTTCAAATCGGAAGCTAATGAATATTTTAAAAGTAAGTAGTCACATTGTGTTTAAAATTACCTCATGACATAAATTCCATAATCTCCAATAAATTGTTTCTGCTAGTGTACACAATGTGGAATTTGATTAATTCTTTTATCACACCTTTTGCATTTTCCTTAAACATAACCTACCTTTTTCTTTCAGAACAAGACTTCAATTCTGCCATAGATCTGTACTCTAAAGCAATTGAAAAAAATCCAAATGTAGCAATATATTATGCTAATAGAAGTTTCGCCTACCTGAAAACGGAATGTTTTGGGATAGCATTAACGGATGCTAATAAATGTATAGAATTAGATAAATCATATGTTAAGGGCTATTATAGAAGGGCAGCCGCACATATGTCTTTGGGAAAATTTAAAGAGGCCCTGAAAGATTATGAATATGTATGTTTTATCAAATTACAGAATTTTTATGAGACTAACCAGTGATTGTAGGTTGCAAAGGTACGGCCTAATGATAAGGATGCTAAGATGAAATACTCCGAATGTAATAAAATAGTAAAGAAAATAGCATTTGAAAAAGCCATTGCAGTAGATGACAAAAAGAATATAGCAGACAGTATTAATTTAGATGCTATGAGTAAGAATTAATGCCTGCTACTACATTTTTATTGATACTTTCCTTTATAGCTATAGAAAATGAATATACTGGACCAGAGCTCAAAGATGGTAAAGTTACTCTTGAATTTATGAAAGATCTAATGGAATTGTATAAAAATCAAGGAAAACTTCATCGAAAATACGCCTATAAGGTTGTTTTTTGAAATATTCTCTTTATGGATACATAATATTATATTTTTCAGATTTTACTAGATATCAAATCTTTTTTCATGGATCAGCCTTCTTTAGTAGAAATACCTATTGGTGACGATGATAAATTCACTGTGTGTGGTGATATTCATGGCCAATTTTATGATCTTCTAAATATTTTCGAATTAAATGGCCTTCCCTCAGAATCAAACCCTTATTTATTCAATGGAGATTTTGTTGATAGAGGATCTTTTTCTGTGGAATGTATATTTACATTATTTGGTTTTAAATTGTTGTATCCTAATCATTTCTTCATGTCGAGAGGTAAGTGAAAAACCAGTTTTCTGAGTACCATTTCAACATTACTTTTAACCAATAATAAATTTTAGTAGTCAACAATTTTCATGAAAATATTCAAATAGTATATATTTATTAATCTTTCAACACATTCTTGTTTGGAAATTCTGACTGATGATAAGTTGGAAGTATATCTACATATTTCATGTTTGGTTATTAGTTTCTTCTCTTGATACAATCAGAATTAAGTATAGTTTAAATAAGAATAAGTATAGTTTGAATTGTAGGGGTTTCTAACCATTTATTATTATCAATAAAGTATACTCCTCAAAACCCAAATATCATATTTTAATTGTTAGTCTGAGTTCAATTTGTGGTCTTCCAGGCACTGTGAAGATCAATCATTTCCAGTTTCCCTAATTGATTTTATTAACTGGAGTATTAACAGAAATACAACTGATATCTGAAGAAGTCTTGATTCACAAATTCATTAAATAAATAAACAAAAATATCGCAAAAAACACTCCTTACCTATTTTTATGTAAACAAAAATGCGGGGGTTATCTAGTTACAAATGTTGTTGCTAGGTGGGGAACTTAAGTTGATTTTCCTACTATAATAATTGGTCCGAGTGTACATAGAGGGGCTTCCAAGAGGCCCAGGTCATCCCAAAATGTTGAAAGAGGTAGTAAAATATCATTCTCTATCCAACATTTTTTATTTTTGAAAATCGGATCAGCTGTTCTTGAGTAATTAACAGTTTCATATCAGTGTTAAGGATTTACAAACAAACAATAATGTTTAAATTAGTCACCATTTACTTCCTGATAATACTAAAGTTTGTTTACAAATATATTATGAAATGTTTCTGGGGTAATGTTGCCAGGAGTACCTTTTATTTTAACCATGAGCTATGGAGTAGGCTGCTGCTGTGTAAGTCAATTTTATATTTCACCAATCCTCACAAAAATATAAAGATGTCATATCAAGTAATGCAGCAGGTTATTCTTATGGACCACGATTACCTATCCACTGGTTTGGAAAATTGTCATCTGGCCACTCTAGGTACCTCATCTTGCTGAAACCTAATATTAGCTGAAAACTCATTTGATTTGACAATTTCCAAACTGGTAGAGATGTTTTTGAGGGAATATGTGACATCTAAAGTGTACGACACCCAACGGCAATTCATTTACAGAACTGGCGGATAGAAAAAGAGGTGCTTGCCAGATATAATCCTAGGTATATTTCATAATGTAGGGAAAAAAATGTAAATAGACTTCAAGGAGAGAATGATGAACATTGAATATTCATTGGAATGAACTGGATTGAGTTTTGAATTATTTTTTTCTTGAAATTATGATGTTTATAGTTCATTTGCAGATTCTTGGAAATTAATATAAAACTGCTAATTACTCAGGAATGGTAAATTATGTTTCCAACAGTAAAAAAGTATTAGATAGAGAATGAAATATCTATCAAACAAGTTATCACAGTTCTATTTCTACTTCTCAGTTCTATTTGAAAATAAAAGTTAGTAGCGCCCTCTCCGCGACGAGTGATGCAACACTAATGTCTTTCTCATCAAAAAGTACTAAAAATGAAACTTTTTACATACATTTTGTCCGATCCTGATATCTTGTTCCGTTAAAAAGTTAATTGGGGGAGGACTATTTATGTCCGCTCTGTACACGTCACTCATTAGTCCACAGTTCTAATTAATCAATAATGATCACAAAAGCAATATCCGAATTGTTTATACAGTGTCACCGATAAAGTCCGCATCAAATGGGAAACTTTTTTATTTATCGTTTTATGTGAAATTTGATTTTGGCAGTAGATTTTGCTTAAGAAATGATGTCAAATGGCGTCTACAAAATAGGTCACGTGATTTCCTTAACCTGTCAAAATTGACATTTAAAAAAAGAAACATCGAA